TACAGCCCAATGTGGACTGTCTTGTTCTCAATACTTAGCTCCTTTGCACGTCTGATAATGATGCAGCACTTTGCGTCTCATACAGATGCTATAGGGCTGTCCTGAATACCAGTTTTGGGGTGTTGCATCTTCATTGAGCTGCTGTTGCACCTAAAATAACGAAACAGTTAGCCACTTTGTTAGCATACAGCTCACACTAGCATTAGCCGTAATGGGTAGAAAAGGAATACTTTGCGAGATGGCTTAGATGTGAGGCTACGTAGAGTTTTCAGGTGATTCGCCAAGAAGGTTGTAGATTTTTGATGTTCCAGTTTCCTTTGGAATCTCATTTTTTTTTGAGGGGTCATCTTGGTACATTTTGAAATTATTCCAGATGCTTGACATTTTTGACATTAAAGGAGCATTAAAACTCTGATTTGGACATTGATTACAATGGCAACGATCGAAGCTTCGATGCATTCGTAAGCCCTGTGCTACAAGGTGCCTTTGTGCATCAGTTTCAGATGCGGAGGACAACTGATCAAAGTGTTGGTATTTGACAAACTGGAAGTGAGACCACCTGATTAAAAAAAAGATATTCTGGACATGAACACTCCATTCATTACATATAACTTTTACAATTATCATTTCCTAACAATACCCAATCTTCATATTTTGTATAGTAGATCAGTATGATTCTACATCATCTATCATATTCGATATCAGCCTGTGAAGTAGGTTAGAGTCTATGTGGCAAATATAAAGATCACAAAGGTCAAGGTGATTTCAGGTGGGTTGATCCTCCATCGCCTCACCAGTAGGAATAGCAAGAATTCCGTTTTAGGGTGTGATTTTAAGGTAACAAACAGCAGCCGCCGCTTCTGTAGACGGTGCCAAAATACCCACAATGCACCACAATGTGTACACTAACAAGAAAAACGTGCCATGTGGGGTGACGTGTTAAAATAACACAAGATGTGTAATCCCTGATGACACACGTGTAGATGTCCAGACAATGGATAGCAGTTGGTTTAAAGATGTGCTCTTCTTTAACACATTTCTCACCATGTGATAGTTTGAGGAGCGAGGCTGTGTTACATCTTCATATTCACATGAACTGTTTCAATAATGGTTTCCTCCGATACGACAAGTGCAATAAGCTGCTTTCATTCTTGTGCTGCTTGGCTGTTAAGAGGTTACGACTGTGACCCCATATCTGATGTCATATTTAGTATAATTACAAGCTGCAGTGTCCTTGGTTCAGTTCTTGACCAGGACCTCCCCTTCCCCTTTCTCTTCTCTTATTTCCTGTCAACACCTGTCCGCTGACTCTTCTCTCTGCATTGTTTGTTCAGGTATCATTCCCAGGTTATCAAGGATTGTTGCGCCCTTCATCGTGTCATACCACCACTGACGGCACTCTTTAGCGTCCTCACGAGACAACACATTCTCTCTCCAACCTCGTCACATTTCGACATTGGCCGTGGACCTTCCATGCCTTCTTATAACATGCAAGGTACCCTGGGACCTATAAACCACCCCTTCCACGTGCCCTACTTGGACTTCCGCCATGTTAACTTAAGTTGTTGTCCTGCCACCTTTCCCCCTGACACCGCCGGGCGTTTAATGGTGACCAGCTACGTATCCTGCTGACATGACAGGACAGCTTTTGCTATTGGCGTCTGACACTGGAAGACATTGACTGAGTGTCGACTTCAGAGTGAGACCAGGTTGCATGAGATGCACCAGGCTCTCAACCGACAGCAGTATAATCAATATTTGACGCTGAGAGTAACTGATGAGGTATTAAGAGTGAGACAGGAAAAGGAAACCCAGCCGGGAATCTCACCCCGCTAACTTGTTGATCTCGCTACAGAATAATAGCTCCTCTGTTTCAAAAATGTCAGGCTGGAAAAATGTGCAGACAGGCTGAAATTTAACTGTGCTATTGGGAGCTGCAGTGACTTAAACCTGCAGTGAGTAAGACAAAATATGAATAATACATGTAATTTGTTAAGCTATGATCAGTGGAAAAGTCTGTCAGCCGCTGGGCTAATTTATTTATTTTGGAGGCTAATATACGTTTTCCTGCGGCCCTGTCCTGCAGTACATTTCTATGTACGTCTCTGTGTCGGTGGATTTGATTTATCTAACATGATAACAAAGCTACAAAGTGCATTAAATAAGCACAGCAGAAATGTCAGATAGGTCGGACCACAATGTTAACCTACATATCTTTAAACGTCACAGTTACGGCTATAAATGACAACAGAAATCAAGTTTGCTGATTTCACAAATCACCACGATTGTAATTAACTGCCAGCTGTCGACCTGAAAGTGTTTGTTATTGTTATCGCAACATCACGGTGATTCAGTCGATTCCACTTGCTGGCTTTGCTTAAAGTTAAAATCTGTTAATATTGCCGTTATTTGTTGATGACAAACATATTATTGCAGCACTGTACCTATAGTGGTCATTTCAACACACCAAAATTCCACTTTTGAATTCACTTTTGACTCGTGTTTCTGTTCCTATTGTGAAGATCCACAGTACTCACACGAGGCAGGACTGCACAGCTACGGCCTTGAAGCGTATTACTCAATATATCTGCAGAGAGAGTAGCTCACAGGCAGTGCAGGCGGTGGTGGAGAATAAAGGGAAACTGAGTTACTGATGTTTTGACATTAATCCGTCTGAGCGGTCGCACAAACAAACACAAGCACACTTCACACACATTGACTTGATTCCCCAGTTAATCAACATGTCCTTTGGTTGTTTGTGGGTAAATAAACGCCAACTGCAAAAACACAGGGATTTATTTTGATGTGCATATAAAGACAAAGACAAAATTACAGTATTTTGAAGCTCAACAAACGTCCAAAACGTAGTGATTATCAGGTGGTGTAATGTGGGGAAATAAAATGTGATTATAACTTGGTATGGAGTGGTTAAGTTTACATGTTAGTGCGGTATAATTTGGATTAGACCACCGTATTAGAGGAATATGTGAAGCTGCAGACTGACGCCGTTTGAATCTGGATACACAACCAGGGAAGTGTTTTATCTCAAACAATGATCAGTCTCACTCCCTCCGACTTGTCCTGTAAAAACAGCCACAGGTGCTCACAATTACCTACAGTACCCTTACAGAAACACTAATGGTACTAACAGACAGCGTAATGGCTTCAACCTCTTGACTCCTACAGTTTAATTTTCCTGCTCTGAAACACTTTTTTTTTTAGTTTTGTGTGTGATTTTTAACAGCTAAAGGAACCAAGTCCAGATGTGACGGAGGGTGGGAGAGTTGGGGAAGAGGGGGTGTGTGTGAAGAAGGAGCGGAGGGTATGAGCGGTAAATGAAAGAGAGAAAAACGAGGTACGGGGGGAAGGGAAGAATAAAATGACAACATAAATCCCTCTGGTGTGAAGTGATGAATTCTGACAGCAGGTCAACCTGTTGTGCCCACAACCAGCATTTGACCCTTTGGACCAAAAATAACGTCTAGATTAAATCTGTTCTGATCTATTAACATCAGATGTGTTCATGCGAGACTCTGTAGTAATTTTGTTTAATTTTAGGCAACAATAATGTTATGATTGTAGAAAACTTTCAACATCATCATGCCAAAAATGTGTATATTTTATAAATGTATTTGTTTTTCTTTTGTCCAGTTGCGTCTTTTGCGCTGCATGAACAAGACTCATTAAATCATTGTAGGATTTCCATAAAGTGAAGCACTTTTGAACCAGCAGTGATTTTTGTACTGCTGTAATTTTGTTTTTTTAAATCTTAGATGTATTATTCTTACGATGGGTTATTAATATTAGCATATTAAAGTTTTACTGTTTGTGTTTTTCTTTGGTAATAGTCTGAGTTTCTTAAAGACGCTCTATTTGAAATTGTATAATCTGGCTGTCACAAGCTGTTATCTTGAACGAGAGTCAGCGGTGTCTGCTGGCTCCGTGCAGCCCATCTGATCATTATCTAACGCCTCACCTCTGGCCGGCTTACGGGGGCAGCGGGGAAATGTCGGAAGCCAAAATGACGGTGTAATTGAGACCGGATCCCCCTCTATTAGTCCCAAATTCCTGAGGAAATTCCGGACACCCGTGAGCGTGAGGCTCACCACATACCTGTGTGGCTGTGGTGGTCAGGGCTGTTTTCAATGAGCCGGGGGGGATTTTATAAGGACTCATTAGGTCACAAATCTGGTTTTGGGGACAATTTCTAACACTGTGGAGCGTCTGCTGGTGCAGAGCTTAACAAGGAGCGACAGTGCAGCCACTGATAACTGGGAGACATGCAAAAAAAATATGTGAGGGGCGATAATGTGATTGAGATTTAAAGATGATCCAGATTCAGCTTGTTCTGGCAAGTGATATGAAAGTGTTTCTGGATTTAGAGCAATGGATGGAAGAGCTGTTATAAAATGACAAATATTACTTGTTTAATGTTGATAGCCGTGGTGTGTGTTGTCAATGGGTGTCTTGTTAAAGAGCCATTGAGCAAGGCACTGAACCTCTTTATTTACCGTCATTTATCCAGAGTTAGATCAGATACATGGACATTAACATTATTTTGTGCTGTTATTTTAAATTTTAAATGCCTAACAATATGGCACATATTAAGAAGACATCCTGTGCTAAAAAATATATATATTTTTTTGCTCTTCTATCAAATATTAAATGAAAACACAGTCGAATTAACAGCAAAAAACATCAACTTCAGCTCTTTCTACCAACACCTGCTGCCTAGGGTAACCATGTGATGATCCTACAATTGAAAATAATACACTTTGCAATTTTAGTTGAAAATTCATTCATTTGGAAACCTTTGTTTTAGTGTCTCCCTCATGTTAAAGTTCTAGTAATTTAAATCATTTGTTTTTTCTGCATGTTTACAATCCAGTCAGTCACCACTAAGAACCTGATGACAGTTTACAACACATTCCTGCAGAAATTTCCATTTTAAAGGCACATCCCCAAAATCCTCTTTCAGGTTATTTTCCCATCGTACTCACCACTTTGCTTCTGCATGACGCCAGACCCCATTTTGATCACCTCACATAGCAAGGACATCACAATGGCAACGAGTCGCAAATGCATCTGGGCTGCTGGCAAGCGCCCGCTTCAGCGCCAGGCTGCGGACATCTGCAGGGACTCTCGGGGTGGCAGGTTGAAGATTTAGTTCCACAGCGAGGGACAGCAAAGAAACAAAAGGGCAAAGACAGGGGCTTTAAAAAATGATGGTGCAGATGGAGATGAAGTGAAGAAGATATTCTTGCAGGCCCAGAGCAGCGATGAGAAAGATGAGAGTGGAGATGAGGGACAGAGGAGAAAATCCTCTTCTCCTTTGTCCTGTTTCACGCAGAAGATTTAGGGCTAAGATGAGGAGACAGGCGGCCATAAACAACAAAAGAAGAGCACAGGAGAGTGGGACAGACTGGAGGTGAGGAGAGCGGAGAGCCTCGTCTGCTTCCCCAGACTGGCAGCTTGGAGGGAAAACTCACCATTTAACTACCACTGTCAAATTTGCGATAAACGAGCTCCACTTATCCCGTAGCCATCTTTAACCCTTTATAGGGTGCGCTCTCAGGGCCTAAGTGGTTCCATATTTCCAGCTTGATCTTTAGCCCCCTCCTCCTGGCTCTATCTATTGTTGTTTAGTCTCTTCTTTTTATTATCCTTGTTTATTTTCTTTGCCTGTGCTGGGCAAATTGGTTTTCTGTGGCAATGCTATTAAATGTGGGCAGTCAGTAAACTTAATTTGACCACCCTGAGAGGATGGAAAACAGCTGGAGAAAAACATAGCTGAGAGTTTAAGTTTTGATTATAGCTTATCTTGGTTTTGTGATTGATTGTTGTGCCTGTTTGGGTAAGGAGTCTGGTAAGTCTGCGATTTACGAGGAGGTTGTGTTAAAGACAGATTCAATTGTGTAGTTATAGACAGAGTGTGTGCAAATCACCCTCTCTGGTTGATAATAAACCTTCGTGTTGGGCCATACCTATTTCTCACAATTCAATACTATAACAATACTTGGGTTACAAGTATCAGTATCTCAGTAGTATCATATACTGTATAGAAAAGTGGTAAATAAATGAATGATTTATGTTTTTTTTATGGTCTTGTCTTGTGAAAGGTGCTACATTAAATAAACTTGATCTACCTAATAAATATAATGTACATGTACAATAAAATGAATGAAAAATATATACTTTATGAAGTGAACTTAAACTCCTACATTTAGCTGTCGCTGCAACGTTTCCCATACTTAGATTTATTTATGGCAACTGTGACAATATCGGCACTGCCATTGATTGATTTCGTATTTTCTTTTAAAATGGGTAAAATCTTATTTCACTGTAGAGCTGCACAGAGCGCATTGATTCGCTAAGCCCTGCTTTCTTCTCAGACCACAAATGAGACAAGAATTAGCGAGGTCGTGTACTCCATGGTCCCGCCTCCTCACTACTTGCCTTTAGGAGACTATTATCCACAACAGGATTTAGCGAAAGCTCCGAGATGACCTTCAGTAGCGGCTGTAGCAAACCGCAGCTCACAGCAGGCTTTGTCTGATCTTTGTAACAGCAGCAACAGAAAGTTTGCGAATTAGGTTGGGAGATTGTACTTGGCTGGCTGAATTTAAGTTATTATTAAGCTATTCAAGCAACTGGAGGTCTGTGCCCTCAACCCAACCGCCTTTTTCTGCTTTCTCACTTCGGCTTTAATTTTCTTAAAACTGCTATGATGTCACGTTACTCATTAGCCCCCTTTAGACTGTCTGTTCAAGGCAGGAATATCGTTATGCTGCTGTATATATGGCCGTGGAATGGGAATCAGAGTTGTTTTGCCTTTAAGCCGCCACGGCAGATAATAACAGGGCTGCAACGTTGTCTGTATAAACAGGATGTGTTTTGACGTCAAAAATCTTCACTGCAGGACATTTAAAAAGTAGCTGTTAGCAATTAGCGGCTAACTCAAAGAAGAAGAACAGTGAAATTGCAAATTGGGAAAACAATGAGATTTGGGAGCTCCTTACGCTCCAAGTAGAGGATGAGACTAGCTGCCATGTAACAGGGATGGTAGATGATCATTATTGTCATATTATGCCTTTTGTTATTGTTAATAAAACGCTGCTGACGCATACGTTTTATGTTACACTAACGGCCAACACTGTTGTGTTACATGTTGTGCCTCATCTGATTCTGCAATTCTAATATGCTGTCTATAATCACACACTGGAGTGGAGTGATGCTGCCGTCGATTGGTTCTGTGTAAAAATGCAAAGACTGCACAAAGAGGATACTGTCGGGGCTCTATAACAGGATCTCTGTGTAAAAAGGGATATTGACCACCATGATAAAAGCAGCAACTTATTTCAAACTCTGTATCTGAATTATATCGATTCAGGCATTAAAAAAATCATAAAAAGAGAAATCCCAACACTTAAATGAACAGTTTTTTTTCCCATCCTAACATACGTAATGTATAATATTACTTCCCCTGGGTGGTTGTGAAGATTATGGTAGCTGTTTTTCAAAGCTGCACGTCAGCCCAACAGAGAGCTGCGAGTGCCTAAACATAACTGTTAGAAAAGTTTTATCATACTTTAGTTGCTACAAGCTGATGTTGCAAATAAAACAAATTGTTAGAGAAAGTTTTGCGACTCAGCAAATATGTTAATGAACAACATTTCCTCATTATGTTGGTAAAATACAGAATTCGTGTGTCATGTATCTTTCAAAATATATTTCCTTTTGCTGATTAGTGGTTTATAAACATAATTTTGTAGGAGGCAGGGTGGGGTAAATTATATTAGTTGAAAGCAAACATTCTTATTATGAAAATAATTATTTATTTGTTTTCCCACATATACGTCTAAAAATTGCATCGAAAACATTAATAACAACTACATGATTTTCTTTCAACTAAAAATATAATAAAAACAATCTAACCACCAAGTGACGTGAAGCTTAAGATAAATCAGATGTTCCCTTTTATTTAATGTATATTTTAGTATATTAGCTCCATAGGCCCAAAGTGCACACCATGTGGTCACAGTGTTGTGGCTTTGACTTTGACTCGGTTGCATGTTATCCTCTGTTGTTTGTCCTGTCTCTCCGTTCCTTTTATTCAGAACAACTTTAATGTTTAATGTCACGTCTCTATTTAGACTCATTTTCTTCTAAACTAAAACTGATTTACTGACTGACTCACTTCATGACCAGATCAAAGACGCAGTTTTATGTACTTGAGAAGAACTTGTTTTTGTGCACTCTAAAAAGTAAAATGGCTTTGCGAAACCTTTGAGTTGCACCCGAAGAAGAACCCCAGACGTCCCCTCCACAGATCTCTTCATAATGTTTTTATGAACTCAGTGGATGCTTGCGAAATCTTTTAATAGTTTCCAGGAGATCATTTAGAGATATTTGTACTAGTCAGATGCCCTGTTGAACTTAGTTATCCTCGATGAACTAAGAGCTTTAATAGTGCAGCATGCCCACATGCCTAAAGTATTACATGCTTGCTGCTGTTGAACAACAACCTCATGTCTCTGAAACGGGAGTGTTTTTTTACGGCAGTCAGGGTGGCCTAACGAACCCATAAAGGAGAGGTCACAGGTTTGATCCATCCAGCAGCTAAGGGATTCATCTCTGAAGTGCCTTTGAGCAAGACTCTAAATCCTGCTGCTCTTTGGAAGTTCATGAGGATAAGAACAGCTGAAGGCCTGAAGTGGTTGGCCAGTAAAACATGAATAAATGACTGAGCTTTGTGTTAGAAATGAAATACTGCAGGTTGCAATTTCACTTATTGTTTTTTGTTTTTTTTTTGTAAGTAGGACTGACATGATATCAGATTTTCATCACATGAATGTCGTGGCCAAAGGAGTTTACGAAACCAAAAATGCTATCAGTCATTTTCATCTTTAACTTTGTTTATTGTGCATTTTGTCTGTTTTCTGGCACATGAATTACCTCAAAATATGAGTGTAGGGAGGTGAAGAGAGAGCCTGTTAACCATAACTGTACAAAAGTGTACAAAAAAAAGCAATTACACTTAATGGATAGTAAAAAGGCAACCAGATGGCGTTGGGGGAGGGAGACAAGTGAGAATGGCAGGAAACAGAAATGACTTAAGAGTCGCTGGATTATTTACACGATATTATCATATGTGTATTATTAACATGATATCAAAATTTCATTTGAAAATGTGACGATAATTGTCTTTACTGGTGTATCGTGGGGTCCTCAACTGACAGAAATCAATCGTTGGAGGACAGACCTTGAACATTTATTACATTTTGGAAGTTTAGGATTTGCATGTGCCAAGCTAGTGGCAACCACAATAATTTTTCATAGGGATGGCCAGATGGGGCCACGGAACATCTTGGGTTGACACACCGAAACCAAAAGCCTGAACTGAATTTCATGAATTCAATCACGCTTTTTAAAGTATATAGGCTCGTTGAACACTTGTCAATATGAAGAGTTATAGAATCGCACAGTGATCACTTTGGTTTCTTATTTTACAGATAATATTACCAGTTATCTGATGTGCACAGACTAATACTGCTATATAGTTAACATTTTGAGTTCCACAACAATCCATTTTTAATGTGTTATCTATCTGTTAGGTGATTTATTGTTCTTCAAGTAGGCTGGTTGTTTGTTTCCTTAAAGGTCCAGTGTGTAGGATTGAGGGCTAATTTAATGTAATAAGCAGGTTTTCTTTAGTGTAAGATCACCTGAAAATAAGAACTGTTGTGTTTTCATTACTTTAGAATGAGCCGTTTATATCTACATAGTGTGCGGGTGCTTGTCTACGTGCACCATGTTGTACCGCTATGCGCATAGTTAGCAGCCCCTGCATGCAACACATACTTACTCCTACCTCGTCACATATTGACGCATGGTCATGGACTTTCCATGTCGAGCTATGACGTACAAGGTACCCTGAGTGCGTTGGTTGTTAACGTTGTGGGACACCATGTCAACTTCAGTCTGTTACATACATCTTTTCAAAATACACTTCCGTTTTTACAGGAAATGTACTGTTTGCCTACAGTCGCTTTCAAAATAAACTCGCTACGTCAGTACAACACAGCGAATTGACATTTTTTTCCTTCAACAACAAACACACGCATGCAGTGACATTTTGCCAACACTCACATGTGGTTCAGTTTAGGAAACAATAGCAGGGTTTGGCTCATCATTATCACGGGAGGTGAACACCGGCCTCCTGGGTGAAAGTCAGTGGTTGTTGGACCCATCCACTGAAGCCTCCCACCCACCCTACTTGGACTTCTGCCTCCTTGACTTTCATTGTTGTCCCGGGTTTCCCCCTGACGCCACCGGGCCGGCTGTATATCATGCCTGCATGAATGGACAGTGTTTCTCGTCTGTGTCTGACGCTGAAATTCATTGACAAAGTACCGGGTTTCAACGACTTCGGATTGAGATTGGGTTCTTTC